CAGATGCTGCCAGACCTGCTGAGCTTTTCCAGCAACTTTGTTTTTGTCCCCAGAACATTATTTGGGTGTCTGGATTTACAGTCCAACGATTATACTACTAAGGCTATCGCCTCCCTCCCTGGTCTAGCAAAAAATAACTCCAGACTCTCAGCAACATGGTTGACTCTGAGCTGGTGTCTAAAATAGAATAGCAAGTCATTTAATCAAACCTCAAAACAGTCTCAAAAGGAGGAATGAAACCAAATGGAACATCTTGCATCAACCTGAGCATCAGAAACACCAACAGCAAATTAAATCTGCAAAGTCCCCCAAACCAACATCTGGAAGCAAGTATCAAATTGGGAGAGCTCTCTCAGACAAGAACGTAGAACATAGAACAGTACAGGCCCTTTGGCCCACAATGTTGTGCCGACCTATTATCCTATTAACCGGCATACGCTTCATCTTACTATCATCCACGTACCTATCCAAAAGTTGCTTAAATGTCCCTAATATATCTGACTCTACACAGAGTGTGGTGGATGCATGGAATGCACTGCCAGCGGTGGTAGTAAAGAACCTACCTCTGACATCTCCCCTATACCTTCCTCCAATCACCTTAAAATTATGCCTCCTCATAATAGTCATTTCTGCCCTGGGAAAAAGTCTCTGGCTATCCACTATCTATGCCTCTCATCATCTTGTACACCTCTATCAAGTCACCTCTCATCCTTCTTCGCTCCAACGAAAAAAGACCTAGCTCCCTCAACCTTTCCTCATAAGACGTGCCGTCCAGTCCAGGCAGTATTCCTGGTAATCTCCTCTGCACTCTCTCTAAAGCTTCCACATCCTTCTTATAATGAGGCTACCAGAACTGAACACAATTTTCCAAGTGTAGTCTAACCAGGGTTTGATGGAGCTGCAGCAGAAGCTCACGGCTCTCAAACTCAATTCCCCTGCCAATGAAAGCCAAAACACCATACGCCTTCTTAACAACCCTATCAACTTGGGTGGCAACTTCGAGGGATCTATGGACATGGACCCCAAGATCCCTCTGTTCCTCCACACTGCCAAGAATCCTGCCATTAACCCTGTATTCTGCATTCAAATTCAACCTTCCAAACTGAATTACTTCACACTTTTCCAGGTTGAATTCCATCTGCCACTTCTTTGCCCAGCTCTACATCCTGTCAAATGTCCCGCTTCAACCTCCAACAGCATTCCGTGCTGTCCACAACTCCACCAACCTTCATGTCATCAGCAAACTTACTAACCCACCCTTCCACTTCCTCATCCAAATCATTTATAAAGATCACAGAGAGCAGAGGTCCCAGAACAGATCCCTGCGGAACACCACTGATCACAGTTCCAGGATGAGTACTTGCCATCTACTGCCACCTTCTGTCTTCTATTGGACAGCCAATTCTGTATCCAGGCAGCTAAGCTTCCCTGAATCCCATGCCTCCTTACTTTCTGAATGAGCCTACCATGTGGAACCTTATCAAATGCCTTGCTAAAATCCATATATACCACATCCACTGCTCTACCTTCAATGTGTTCTGTCACATCCTCAAAGAATTCAATAAGCCTTGTGAAGCATGACCTGCCCCTCAATGCCATGCTGACTATTTCTAATCAAATTGTGCTTTTCCAAATAATTATAAATACTCTCAGAATCCTCTCCAATAATTTGCCCACCACAAAAGAAAGACTGACTGGTCTAATTGCGGGGAACGGCCACAGGGGATCCCTGCACTGTCTGCCTATTCCCTTTCACCCTCCTGACGGTCACCCAGCCACCTTTATCCTGTAACTTAGGTGTGGCTAACTCCCTATAACTCCTCTCTATCACCCTCTCAGCCTCCCAAGTGATCCAGAGTTCATCCAGCGCCAGCTCTAATTCCCTTACACAGTCTGTGAGGAGCTGAAATTGAGTGCACTTCTCGCAGGTGAAGGCAGCAGGGATACTACAAGAAGAGCCTGCAACTGCCCTAGCTTCCATCCCCTCTACTCTAGAGTGCCGAAAGAGATAAAGAGACAGGAAAAAAAAAAAAAGCTCACCTTATCAAGTTTTTTTTTGGTTAGAGTTTAGTGTTTTGGGTTTAGCCACTGCACAAATATATTAGTTCACTTACTCATCAGTCCCCATGTCCGCGTTTGCTTCTGCTCAGCCTGCGCTCCGCATTTTCACGAGGCATGTCTTTTATACCGAAAACTTACCTTCCCGGCTGCCCCCTGGCTCACGCTCTAATCACTCCAGCCACTGAATTAGAGGCCGCTGTCTCACGAGGCAAGTTTTGAAGACAAGTCAAACAACAGCCTGATATTATCATATATTCCAGATAACGCACCAGACAATACTATCATCACCCCAGAGATGTTTGTCCCACTGACAGGATAGACCTAACAGAAGTAGCGGTGCAGGGGTATAGTCAGAATGCAGCTGCCCTGGAAATCCTCAGCATTGAATCTAGACTCGATAAAGTCTCAAGGCATCAGGTCAAATAGAGACAAGGAAACCTCGATGATTACCACTGAACACCCCACCTTCAGGTGATGAGTTATTATTCCAACACGCTGAGTGGCACTTGCAGGAAAAACATAATTAACCTCATCCTTGCCAATCTGCTGCTGGCAGATTCATCTGTCCATGGCAGTAAGTATGGCCATTGCAAAGTCTTTGTGGAGACAAAGTTCCATCTTCACCGAGGATATTCCCATCATGTTGTGTGAGACCATAAACCTACGTAATTCTAACAGGGTTAATGCAGGAAGGATGTTCCTGATGACCGAGGAGCGCAGAACTAGGAGTCACAATCTAAGCATGACAATAGGCCATTTAGGACTAAGAGGAGGAGAAATACCTTCACTCATCGAGTGATGAACCTGTTGAGTTCTCTGCCACAGCAAGCTGTTAAGGCCAAAGCATTGAATGTTTTCAAGGAGTTGGATAAAGCTCTCAGGATTAAAGGGATCACAGAGTATTGGCAGAAAACAAAGTTGGATGATAAGTCATCACCATCATACCGAATGGTGGAGCAGGCCTGAAAGGCCAAGCGGCCTCTTCCTGTCCCTACTTTTTTTTTTAAAATGTTTCCATGTGTCACTGTGCTAAATGGGACAGACTTTGAACTGATCTAGAAACCTAAGAACGGCGTCCATGAGACACTGTGGGCCATCAGCAACAATTCAGTTGTATTCCAACACAATCTGCAATCAGAGATAACAAGGTGTAGAGCTGGATGAATACAGCAAGCCAAGCAGCATCAGAGGAGCAGGAAAGCTGATGTTTCAGGCCTAGACCGTTCTTCAGAAATGGGGGAGGGGAAGGGGGTTCTGAAATAAATAGGGAGAGACGGGGAGGCAGATAGAAGATGGATAGAGAAGATAGGTGGAGAGGTGGTCGAGCAGTTTCAGGGCCAAAGAGATTATGAGAGTGTTGCAGTGGGAGAGAGATCCACTGAGGTCTTTCCGGAGGGAGGAGGGTAACTTCAAGGTTATTTCAGAACCCCCTTCCCCTCCCCCATTTCTGAAGAAGGGTCTAGGCCTGAAACGTCAGCTTTCCTGCTCTTCTGATGCTGCTTGGCCTGTGTTCATCCAGCTCTACAATCTGCAATCACATCGGCCAGCACATCCCTACTTTACAATTAACATCAAGCCAATGGATCAACGCTGATTCAATGAGTATAACAGGTATGCCAGGAGTACCTGAAACTGTGAAGTTATAATAACAAGACTACCTGTATGCCAAACAGCATAAACAGCAAGTGATGATGGAGGTGAAAATAAACATTTTTAATTCTTTGATCCCTCAAAGACTGTAAGAGACTTAGCTTCTCTGTCAAAACGTTTATTCATGCATGCATGGGAGGTGTACCCAAAAATGGTGCACAACTCTCCGGATTTGCTGCAAGACAACTTATATTATTGACAGATAACAAGTTTCCAATAAAAATGTGATACATTCACATACATTTATGTCTATCCAGCAGTATTCATTCTACTTTACATTCCAAGTCAGTACACATGATTATATTATCCAACCACATTCAAAACTTGTACATCATGCTTACGTGTATATTATCAGAAGCATTAGATGTCCACATCTACTGACTGTAAGTATGCACTTCATAATTAACAAAACTCTTGACTGCAATTTACCTGCTTTCAAAGGGCTTAGCAATTCCACAACAGATCAGATCTAAGCTTTGCAGTCCTGTTGCATACAATCATGAAAGCTGGTAGACAGTTAAACAACTTTACAGAAAGCGGCTCCGCAAATACCTCAATCTTTAATAATGGGGGAGCCCAGCAAATCAGTGTAAAAGAAAAAGCAAGATAAGGTATTCATAACAATCTTCAGCCAGAACTGCAGAGTGAACGATTCATTGTGGCCTCAGGTCAGCAAGCCCCAGAATCATAAATGGCAGTCTTCAGTGGTTGGTAGGTACATTTCTCTCCAACCGATTTGGACTTGTTTTCAGATTAAAGGCTAAATAGGAGAAACAGATTTTCAACTTGAAAACTAAAGATCAGCAGTAAATTGAAAAACACAAACTGAAAATCTAATAAATTGACTGCACAGCCAAGCGATGTGTTGTCGTTGGTGGACCTCATTGTGACTCATCACAACCACATCTGTACCACATGTTGGTTGCTCCAGGAAATCTGGCTCAGAGTTCATTAGCTGCAGTCCGAGATGCTCTTTTTTCCATTTATTTGTGGGATGTGGGCGTTGTTGGCTGGCAGGCATTTCTTGCCCATCCCTAGTTGCCCTCGAGAAGGTGGTGGTGAGCTGCCTGCTTGAACCGCTGCGGTCCTCCTGCTGGAGGTTGACCCACAATGCCATTAGGGACGGAATTCCACGATTTTGACTCAGCGACAGTGAAGGAACGGCAATATATTTCCAAGTCAGGATGGCGAGTGACTTGGAGGGGAACTTGGAGGTGGTTTCGTTCCAGTGTCTGATGCCCTTGTCCTTCGAGATGAAAGTGGTCATGGGTTTGGAAGGTGCTGTCTGGGGTTCTTTAGTGAATTTCTACATTGCACCTTGTAGATAGTACACACTGCTGGTACTGAGCATCGGTGGTGGCGGGAGTGGATACTTGTGGTTATAGTGCCAATCAAGCGGGCTGCTTTGTCCCAGATGGTGTCAAGCTTCTTGAGTGTTGTTGGGGCTGCACTCATCCAGGCAAGTGAGGAGTATTCCATCACGCTCCTGTCTTGTGCCTTGCAGGTGGCAGACAGGCTTTGAGGAGTCCGGAGGAGAGTTAGTCGCCGCAGTATTACTAGCTTCTGGCCTCCTCTTGGAGCCACTATGTTTACGTGATGAGTCCAGTTGATTTTCTGGTCAATGATAATCCCAGGATGTGGATAGTTGGGGTTTCAATGATGGTAACACCATTGAATGTCAAGGGGCGGTGGTTAGATTGTCTCTTGTTGGGGATGGTAATAGTATCACATTTGTGTGGCACAAATGTCACTTGCCAGCCCAAGCCTGGATATTGTCCAAATCTTGTCGCATGTGAACATGGACTGCTTCAGTATCCGAGTCGTCATGAATGGTGCTGAACATTGCGCAATCATTAGCGAACATCCCCACTTCTGACCTCGTGATGGAGGGAAGGTCATTGATGAAGCAGCTGAATATGGTTGGGCCTAGGACACTACCCTGAGGAACTCCTGCAGATATATCCTGGAGCTGAGATGATTGATCGCCAACAACCACAATCACCTTCCTACGGGTCAGGTATGACTCCCACCACCAGAGAGTTTGCCCTCGACACTCACTAATTCCAGTTTTGCTAGGGTTTCTTGATGCCACACTCGGTCGAATGCAGCCTTGATGTCAAGGGCTGTCACTCTCACCTCACCTCTGAAATTCAGCTCTTTTGTCCATGTTTGAACCAAGGCGATTTCACAGTTCAGGAGCACTTATTTCCAGTGCTGGTACCTAATATCTTGCAACTTGTGCAACTTTCTTTCAGATGGCACCTCCTTGTGGATATTACTACTGACACCAGATTATAAAACAACCTTTCTGGTTTACACTTCATCACGGCAACTTGTGCAATCTTGCAGGAATATATCATTCCAGTATTTGATGAAGTGCTACAAGGACTCAAAATTTCTTAAATGTAATGACATTTGAGATTTTCTTTCTAGACCAGATATTTCACCAAAAGTTTCTAAATTTGAAATGTACACATTATTTCACAATTGAAAAGTTTCCAATTGGTGTTTAGTATCCATTGACAAATCCATTCTGCCTTATAATATGCCCATCCAGTATTTAACTTTGCTATCAGGCCATAGGTAAGGTTTTAGAGGAGCTTTGCAAGAATGATCCCAGGGATGAAGACCTTGCTGTGTGAGGGGCAGTTGAGGACTCTAGGTCTGTATTCCATGGAGTTGAGAAGGATGAGAGGGGGATCTGATTGAAACTTACAGAATACAGAGAGGCCTAAATGGTGTGAACGTGGAGATGATGTTTCCACCAGGAGAGACGAGGACATGGGGGGCACAGCCTGAGAGAAAGGATAACACTTTGGAACAAAGCTGAAGAGGAATTTCTTCAGCCAGAGTTTGAATCTGTGGAACATATTGCCGCAGTAAGCTGCAGATGAAAATTTATCCAGTGTATTTAAGACAAAGATAGATAGGTTCTTGATTAGTAAAGGGATCAAGGTTACAGAGAGAAGGCAGGAGAATAGGGTTGACAAACATATCAGCTATGATTGAAAAGTAGACTGAATGGCCTAATTCTGCTCCTATATCTTATGCTATTTTGGGCCCTTTAGATGTTTGACGAAGGAACTCAACAACAGTTGAACTTCTGACATCGACCATCATATTCCTATACCACCATCCCCTCAATCTAAAGCAGTGGCTTAAACACTTCTGAGCCATTATCATCATTCTGCTTCACAATCTCCAAAAGACATATCACCTTAAACAATTTTTTGTACATTAGCAGTCCACGTCTTACACATATCACCATGACAATTCTACCCACTCATTTTAACATAACTCAAGTCTCAGAGATGGGGGAAGAATAGTCCTTGGTCAGCCTACAGTTTGTCACAGTACACTTTTACTTTATTGAAATAAATCTGCAGAAAAATCAGGACAATGGTTGCTATGCCTCTGCAGTGTGTGAAAACAAACTACTTGAATGAAGTCACAGTGACATAAAGCACAGAAAACCAGCTGTAAGTCTGTTTAATTAGCATTTGTTAAATCATGAATATTCAAATTTTCTCATCTTTCATGTGACTATCAGTGCAGGCCACCTAGCATGGACCACAGTGTCAGAGTCATTCAGCACAATTAATTACAGACCATTCCGTCCAACCAGTCCATGTCAACCATAATCCCACCTGCCTGCACTTAGCCCATATCCCTCCAATATTTGCTTTTTAAATGTTGTAACTGTACCCAAATCCACCACTTCCTCTGCAAGTTCATTCTACATATGAACCACTCCATCTAAAAAAAAAGTTGCCATGTCTTTTTTAAATCTTTCTCATCTCACACCAAAAATATGCCCCCTAGGCTTGAAATGCCCCACCCTAGGGAAAAAAACACCTGCCACTCACCTTATCGATACCTCTCAATTTTATTAGCCTCTAAGTTTGCCCCTGAACCTCCTACACTCCAGTGAAAAAGTCCCAGCCTGTCCAGTCTTTCTTTATAACTCAAACCCTCCATTGCCAACAACATCCTGGTAAATCTTATTTGAACCCTCTCCAGCTTAATAATATCCTTCCTATAATAGGGCAATCAGAACTGGACACAGTATTCCAGAAAAGGCCTCACCAGTTGCTACTTGTTTGCATATATCTGAATTTGTGGATAATGTATGTTGGATTTCCAAATGTGACTCATCAATGAGCAAGATTGCAAAGCCAAAAGCTCTTTGTATATCTATCATAAAAGCGAAATGGACCAAACCAGAGAAAAAGAAACATCAAAACACACAAAGAATACCACTTTTGTGCTTTATGAATTTGACTCCTGGGTCTAGTAGGGTGAGTGTGACCCATAAGCAAAGTTTAAGTCAATCTATTCTGCAGTATAATAATTCACCAAAGATATCACTCTTCTTGGTGGCACTGAGCACAGAAAGCATCAGCACACACAATTTAGAATGCAGCTTTTAGAGAAAATAACATGATGTGAAATGTTGACACAGTACATTAGTATATACTATAATATTAAGCTTATCAATTTGAAATTATTTTGAAATCGAACACTGCGACCTACTTGACAATCTCATGACATAACAGGCACTGCTTTGGGAACTCCAAGTGATCAGTTGAACTTGCACACTGCTCTTTAAAAGGACAAATATTACTTCACTAATAAAATACTGCAAGCATGTACATTTTGAATTAAATGAGTTGAACTGGACTGTGGATTTTATAAATCGGAAATGTATTTCTATATATATTTTGACTCACCTGAAAAACGTGACGAAGAACTGCACAAGGTCCATAAAGTTGCTGTGCTGAGAAAAGGCAATCTACAGAGAGAAAGGGATGCAAGTGAAATTCAAATCAAAGCTAGCAAATGCATTGAATGTGTTATGGCCATAAATATATTACATAAATGAATTTTGCAGTTAATTGAATTCAGTGTACTCTCTCCGAGTAAGAGCAGACTCCAGGATTACAAAAGTCAGGAACCCATGTATTATCAAGGTAATTTCACTGATCTCACTCCCAGCATTGAGCCTGACAAGAGGGGAATTTGGGTTGGCGATATGACTGCAACAATGTTATTTTTCAACACAGTTTCTGTTCAGTGGTGAGGAGAGTGAGCTACTTATTAAAAATTTACATTAAATTAATAAATTCTTAACCTTCTGTGGTACCCTGTTTACTTGCATCTGTCCAAACACAAGCAAATTAAGAAGAATCAGAGGTTGAAAGGACCTGGATAATGCTAATTTTTTTTCATTACAACTGCCAGTCATGAGGATTAAGCATGCTTTCCCTTGATCAATTCAGTTGAGAGTTTAGCTGCATTCAAAAGGAAGTGCACTGTATTTTCAATATGCAATTTGGTCGACAGCAAGGATCACTACCCCTTAGGCAGAAGTCTTTCTTTTAAGTGAATAACAATTTTTATTTAGCAAATTCTTTTAGTCTATAAAATGGATCACGGTTTCCCTGTAGCCATCCGGTGACCTTTTCAAAAGCTTGCACAACATTTTGTTAATGTCACAAATCATGTAACACGGTGAGATAGTGATAACGTTTATCGCCTGCCTTTTCAAAATAGTTCCCATATAACTATTTAGCATATCCTACCCCACTGCAACTGTATTAGCTCTCCCACAAAGACTACTCCATTCCCACTTCCCTCAACAAATATCTCTCCATTTGATCAAACAAGTGGAACTGTTGAATATTCTTGTAGGGCCAGTAGTGCACAACATTAAAAAATGCTACACTATATGATTAGATGCACAAAATGATGTAGAATCATGACAAGAATTAAATCAATCATTCTGAAAATATTTGTCTATCTTGAACACACAGCAGCTGACATTCAGACTTCAATGCAAGTTGGGCACATAACATTTCACATTTTTAATAACAATGATTGAAACAAAGGAGTACAGTTTGACAATGAAAAATAGTTAAGAGATTTAACTGAATAAAATGCTTTAATACACCAGAACAAACATACCAATGAACAGTATAACTTTACCGAAAGATCCTACCTCTTCAACAACCATAACTAACTAAATGAACAATTTTAAAGCATTCTCCAGTATTTCGAAGTGCATACCTCGAATTGTTTTACAATTTACAACCCAAAATAAGCACCCAGTTATCAAACAACTTTCACTGTGGGCAAGAATATATTGCAACAAGACAGGTAATTCAGAAGATTATGAATTTGGTGAAAATAATGACACTCATTGTAGCTTGTATCCAAGAACTGCATTAGAAGTCCTTATAAAGTCTTGGAATATTGTTGAGAAAAGTGAAAAGTGAAAAGACAAGACAGGCTGGAAAAACATCAAGCAGACAGGATAAAATTCTCAAAGCCGAGTGCTCGAGAAAGCAAAAAAAAAAAAAAAAAATTCCATTTGCAACTTTCAGGAAACTCAACGACGGTCTCGGAACCACCTGTTTCCTGTCCTGACAAACTGTACCTCAACACAAATTTTAACCTTTTTATAACAGATCATGAGGAGCAGCACAAAACAGATTGAGATTAAGACAGCGTTTTTTATTTCAGCCTTCCAAAGAAACAACTCTGAATTCTTCTCTCTCTCCTTGCCTCCCTGAAGTGGACACCAGTGGATGACCTGTGCTAGTGGTTATGGTCCCAGCATCTCAGATTCACAATTCAATTCACTCCAGATGATATCAGTTAGCGCTGGATAATTCTAAAGCTACAGACGCTGACAACATTCTGGCAATTGTTTTGAAAACTTGCACTCCAAAAGCGTGTCCCTAGCTCAGCCACTTCAGTACTGTTACAACCCTGGTTTTAAAACAGCAAGATGGCAAACTGAATCGGTATATATTGTCGAAAAACTCCAACCTGATAAATTGTCACTTCATCAATCTACTCTGGATCACTAAAGTGATGGAAAGTGGTGTCGGTAGCACTGTCAAGCTATACTCACTCAGCAAAAACCTGCTCACTGACACTCAGCTGAAGTTACGCTCGACTACTCAGCTCCTGACTTTGGTCTAAACTTGTCAGAAACGCTGAATTCCAGACAGGATTGGAGAATGAGTGCCTTTGACATCAGGGCTGCATTATACAGACCATCAAGAGGTCAAAGCAAAGTGAAGAAATTTGGCAGGACAAGTCTCTATTACTGGAGTCATTCCTAGCACAAAGAAGTTATGATCCCAGCAGACATCCTACGGGACAAGTCAGATCGCAGGCAGAAACCTGGCTTGACAGATCAGAAATTCATTTGTTCTAGATTTAATGAAGTGTCTCTTGCTGAAACATATGTACATAATAACGCAAACTTCATCTTAACAATAAAACAGAAGTTTATTATAAAATGGACTAAGATAAAATAGAATAATCTAAACTACCTACTTATAACATAGATTCAAAGATTTTAAACACACAGTAAAAGTACAATTCCATTAATCCTAAAATATCCCTTTAAAAAACAAAAGAAGCAAAACAGCTTTTGCAGAGTGGCCAAAACTGCCTAAGCATCATTCTCAAAACACTGCTTCTGAAACAGTACCTAAGACCCCACTTGTATAACACTCAAACCAGTCTCCACGTATCCAATGCCTCAGGAGGTTTACATCACTTGGAACTTTAATTGTTAAAAATGGAACTGCGACAGTTTCTTCCTGAAGCTATGACACACGCGAGCTTTTCTGTATGGGCTAAACAACTAACTCTGCATCTTTATCTGATCTGGATCAGACAAACTCTTCACTCTAAGGACCTAACCGACAATAAACATCTCTTCTCAGGACCACTGCTTTCAAGAGCTATCCTGTTGCAACATCTTCACGGGACTAAAAATTTCCCCAAACAAAACTGAAACTGGAAGTTTCTCAGTTATATGCTGAAACCTCAAAAGCCAACCAAATTCCAAAACACTACCAAAACTTTTGAAATCTCACTTACCACACTCCGTCGCAGACAATCTAAAACAAACTCAATTCCACTATAGATCAAACCTATACACTCTACAAACAAGCTTCAAAAACTGTTTTTAAAAGGCATCACCATGGTTACAAAAGTACTTGCAAGTTAACTACTAAAATCTGACACTGAAAAATCCACTGGTTACTTACTCAAAAAAACAGACCCAAACTTATCCCAAACATCACGAAAAATTCTCTATTTAAATCCCAAGGTTTACATCACATAGAGGAAGTTAGCTGTGAATGTTTTAGGGGAAAATATCTCAGCCCCGAGTCATCACTGTAGGAGTTCCTCAGCGTAGTGCCCGACATCCAACCATCTCCAGCTGCTTCATCAATAACATATTTCGATCATCAAGTCAGAAGTGGTAGATAAGGTGGCTCTAGGAGTCTGGGGCACAGAACACAACAGTAGAAAGGGCATGCTGGAACTGTGTAAAATGCTGGTTAGGCCAGAATTGGAATACTGCCTGTAGTTCTCGTAACCACATTAAAGGAAGGGTATGATTGCACGAGAGAGGTGCAAAAAGATGCTGCCTCAGCTGGATAGTCTCAGCTATGAGCAAAGATTGGATCAGCTGAAACACTGGGAATAACAGGGGAGGGCAATGCCTGGTAGTATTATTGCTGGACTGTTAATGCAGAGACCCAGGTAACGTCTGAGGTCCTGGGTTCAACTCCCACCAGGGCAGCTGGTGGAATTTGAATTCACAAATATCTGAAATTAAGAGCCTAATGATGACAGTGAATCCATTGCTGGTTGTTGGAAAAAACCATCTGATTCACTAATGTCCAGTAGGGAAAGAAACTGCCATCCTTACCTGGTCTGGCCTATGTGTGACTCCAGACCCACAGTAACGCGGTTGACTCAAAACTGCCAGCCTTGCCAGCGATGCCCTCATCCCATGAATGAATAAAGAAAGAAAAGAAAACCTGCTCAGTTTATTGACCTGTAACCAGTGAGGTTCCACAGGGATCAGGAAATAATGGCATGTTGGCCCTTATTTCAGGGAGGCTGAAGTATAATTGTAGGAAAACCTTACCGCAAATGTATAAGGTGTTGGTCATCTGGAGTACTGAGAGCAGTTTAGGTCCCCTTATCGAAGCAAATATACTGTTTCATTAGAACAGTTCAGAGAGAGTTCACCTGGATGATTCTTCGTATGGAGGGGATTATCTTGTGAACAAAGGTTAAAGAAGTTGGGACTCCACTCACTGGAGTTTAGAAGAATGAGAGGTGATCTCATTGAAACATATTGGATACTTATAAGGCTCAACATGGTAAATGCTGCGATAATGCTTCCCTCATGGGAGTCGAGGGTCAGAAGGCACAGTCTTAGAATAAAGGAGGCGTCAATTTAAGACTGAGATGAAGAGGAACAACTTCTCTCAGAGTGTCGAGTGTCTTTAGAATTCCTTGCCACAGAGAGCTGTGGGGGCAGAATCCTTGTGTATATTTAAGGGTTGGATAGATTCTTGATCAGTGGAGGAATCCAGGGTTATGCTGAAAGGGCAGGAAAGTGGATGCGAGAAAGGTCAGATCATCCATGATCTTACTGAATGGCAGAACAGGCTTAAGGGACTGAATGGCCTACTCCTGTTTGTGTTTCTTGTGGGACAACCTCTCATCCCAGAGAATCTTTGCTGCATTGCCTCCAATGTAAGCCTATCCCTAAATAGAATAAAAGTACCAACAGTTAGCATGTAGCTTCACCAAAACCCCTTAAAATGTGACAAGACTTATTAGTCTTGTACTCTAATCAGCCTGTAATAAAGGGCAAACTGTCATATGTTTGCTTCATTGCTGGCTGTACCACAAGCGAATTTTTTGTGTCCCTTGTATAAGGCAACCAATGTTTTACTGTACATCAAA